TGATATTTTGCCTAATAATGTCTTCAAACTTTGAATGATAAAAGAAAAAGTTCTTATTGCCTTTATATTTCTTTCTCTTGAAATCATATTTTAATTAATTAATATGGAAACCTAGCATATATATACAGGAAGAAGTATTTTTTAGTTATTGAAGAGTTCAGTATCTATATTATACAATGTAGATACAGATGCTTAAGTAATCCAGTTCTTTACTTGTACCAAACCCAATACAAGTATCATTAAACTCTTGAATAAAAAAGAAAATTTGAAAAAATTAGAGAAACAAGTGAAAGATACAATATAATAAAAGTAGTTGATAAAATGCTTTCTGTCTATTACAGCCAGTTCACAAAGCATATTCAGTAACTATTGCATCTTTTACAATGAATTCACAAACTTTGAAAAAGAAAGTATAAGAAAAATAAAATAAAAGCAAATCTTTAGTTAAATGAGAAAAAAGAAAAAGACCTGTTAAAAGAAGCAGGTGCAGAATTTCTCAACAAGTGAAGAAGACCTTCTAAACAAGATACTCTGTTTCTCAAGTTCAAGTTTTCCAACTTCAATTCTTTATTGAGATTATAAAGGGAGCATATATCTTGAAGTGTCTTTAATTCTTTTTTTAATATTTTTATTTTTGATTTCAAAGCCCCAAATTTTTTTTCTTGATGAACTTGACACTTCAAAACTCTGACTCTTTCTTGAAGCAAAACAATTGTTTTCTAAAATGAATCCCTAAGACCAGGGCAAGTTAGGCAAGCATTTTTTGATAAATAATTTTCTCTTGACATTTTCAGAAAAATTTTGAGTTAATGATTACCTGTTTAATAATTTTCAAGAAACTTTAAGTATACAATATAATGGAATATGCCAAAATATCAAAAATATTCAAAAAATCTATAAAAAGAACAACTGTTCAAACAATATGCACCCTTTTCAAATTTGAATGTTTTCAATATACAAACAACAATATTATGGCTATCTATACTATTTTTATTAAAGATCTTTTGCAAAATATTTCTAAAAATGTAAATGTTGTATTAGCTCTTATGATTTTTTGCAGACTATCAAATTACAACTTTTAAATACCTATCAAAAATTACAAAGGGCATTACAAAGAAAGGACAAAATTATAATCCTTGTGTATGTTTACTACTTTGAGAAATTATTGGAAACAACTTTCAACTAAATATAAAGATTCTATTTAAATTCATAGATCACCAGATATCATTTTTCAGTTTTTGCAAACACATATTACTTTTTTAGTAAAGTTGAAATCCATCAAATTTATAGAACTCATTTGTTATTTCTCACCTAATTAGACAACTGTTCTATGCAAATTTTATTATTCTAACATAAGATTAAATTCATATAACTTATAAATTAATAGGGGAGAATTGTTATATTTGATTTTTATTCAAGATCTTTATTATCTCTTGTCTGATTTTTACTAGTATTTACTCTTGAAATGCTATTTGTTTTAGAGTAGTCTTGTATTACAGATCTGTTGTAGCACCTTCAACATATATTACATTTATTGTACCTTTACTATTTTTAGAATATTTTTATTTTATTTCATCTTTACTTTCTATATTATCTTTACCAAAGTATTTATCTATGTAAATGTTAATACAGTTAAATATTTTAATGAAAATAGTATCTATATTTTAATTTATATTTTTATTATAACATATATTTATTATATATGAAAATATTATATCTTAAACATATATTGTCACACTTGATTTTTATCCAAGATTATTACTATTTCCTGTCCAATTTTTATTAGTATTTACTCTTGAAATACTGTCTATTCTAGAATAATTCTTATATTATTATTTTTGATATTGTTTAGCACTGTGCTTTTTATACTATTGTTGCTCCAGAATATTTTCTATTTTATTTATTTTATTTATTCTTTTATCTTTGCCAGAGTATTTCTTTCTATATTAATACATATAGATAACTGTTCTAATGAATATAACACTTCTCTTATATTTTTATTATTTTTTATAACTTATAATTATTATATACAAAAATAATATAACTCAAACATATATATAAAGTCTTCAATTTCACCAAGGAATTGGCAAGCTTGAATTTTATTTTTTTCAAATAAATAAATTGATCTTTATAAAACAAATTATTATTTTATCTTTTGTCTGATCTTATATATCTCAAAATTGTACTAATTTGTATATCTATAGAAACTTTAGCATATTATATTGGCCTCTATCATCTCAAGTGCCTCCTTACTACTAGTTCTTCATTTTTATCTTTCTTCTAAGGTAAAAACAATATATAACAGTATATAAAGATTCCAATTTTGCCTAGGAATTGGTAGGCTTAAACTTCTATTTTATCAAATAAATAAATTGACCTTTACAAATACAAATAACTATTATTGTCTCTTTTACTTGATCTAATATAGCTCAGAATTGTACTAATTTATATGCCTTTAGGAACTTTAACATATTATATTGGTTTCTTTTATAAAAGTATTATCTTGGGTATTGGTTTTTTGTTTATATTTTTTTCTTGAGATAGAAACAATATGTGACAGTGTATTCTAGAAATATTAAAGTAGTATTTTTTTAACATAAAAGGCATTAGATATAAAACTTTATTAGGTATACACAGTATATTAATATACAGATTATATCAAACATCTTTGCACAATATAATGTGCAAGTTAATATTAACCTATTTACAGTACTAATTATTGCTATTTTTATTACACTTGATATACCTTGAATTGATTCTAGTATTGGATGGTTAATACTTTTCCAGAATTAAGATAAGTTCTTGTGATTTGAGTAAGTTATTAGATTTGATAGATTGTATATCTATAAAAAGTAGGATCTGCTGAAGTAAGATCTTGTCTTGTATAGTATTTGACTAGTAAAAATATATTTTTTAGTAAGTGTTTTAAGAAGAAGAGAAATATTAGAATTCATTACTAAAAGAAAAATATTAATTTTAAGTATGATTTTATTAAAAGAAAAAAGAAACTTTATTTTAATTAAAAAGAAGCTGTTAAATAAAAATAATAATTCTAATAATTTAATTTAATTCAATTTCTAATTTTCAGATTTATATTAAATTTAATATATGGATTATAATCTACTATTATTTTTAATAGTGTTTTAAACCTTATATAAATTTATGCAAGTCTGTTAAATTCCAATTTTTGGAACCATAGATAAGAATTAGAATTAATATTTTTTTAAATGGAATTATAATCTTTTGTAGAATATAAATGTAGTCCTATTATTAAAAAAAAATAAATCTTTATATTTGAGATCTAAAAGTTGATGAATTGTTGAAAGTGATTTTTAAATATTTAAGTAATTTGAAAGAAACTTTATATTTTTTATAAAAATAATATTTGTAATTAAAAAATTATTAAATTTACTTTTCTTTTTGATAAGAAAAATATCTTCATATTTTGTTAAAAAGTTATTTGAATTCTTAAAAAAAGTATAATTTTCTTTGAAGTAAAATATTAGAAAGTTTGTTAAATTTATAATAAGAGCTTAGAATTTGAAAAGTTACATTTATATAAGTCTTATTTAGTATTGCATGTTTAATAAAAAGTTTATTAAAAAGAAAATTAATAAAATATATTTAAGTTTGTTTCTAATAGATATATAATCAAGAATAAAAATTAATTTTTTAATAAAATAATTGATTAAATAGATAAAAAGACTAGCTAGTTTATAGCAATATATATACTGTATATACAGTATATGTTAGATAAAGTATGCTTTATATACATGTTTTTATTTGAGTTATTTATATTCAAATACATGTATATTCAGATTCTTACTACTTAAATACTAAGTTAATCTTACAACTTTACTTATAAACTTATCTATTATATTTATTTATCTATAGCAAATGTGGATTTATATCTTAGGTGAAATCTTTAGGAGATAGAAATTATATCATTAGTTTAAACCATTTAATCTAATTTAGATCCTGTTTTAACTGTATTTATTATAGAAAAGGCACAATTATTATCTTTCAGAAATGGTTAAAACACCTGAATATTTCAATACCTTTTGTCTAAAACCTTGAAGAAGATAAGTTATACAACTTCTTTAATGCTTCTTTTTTCTTTTACAATTTTGAAATTGATTAGGGAAGTTTATCAAGTTGGAAATACAAATGTTTTTTATAAATTCCATCTTAATAATTTTGTTGTTATTAAGATTAAAATCGAAAGTTTAAAAGAGTTGATTCCAATATTAATGAATTATAACATATAGGAACTGTTTTTTATTGTTCTTAGTTACAGAATACTCTATGGTAATAATTAATGAGTAGTTGTGAGTACCTGAAAATACTTGAAAATCGAAAAATCTTTTGAAAGAGTTGTTATTAAATAAGAAAATTTTCAAAACAAGGCAATGTTTATCCTTTTAAAAAAAACACATAATACAGTATAACAATGCAATGCAGTTATAAAATTGATAAAAACTAGTTTTTTTTTTTTTTTTTGCGTACATTTTATTTTTGGCATGCGATAGATGTTTTTATGAATTTAATATTTAGCAATGTTTTATGTAAATAAACAACTTCAAAATTATAAGTAAAAAAAAAACATCTTGACTATCGTTCATTCAATTCAATTCAATTTTTTGCATATGGCATGGAAAAAAAAGAAGTTTCACATGCGTACTGTATATAAATTACAAATTAAACGTTGTATTTTTTCCGATTGAGTCACGTTTTATATGCAACTGTTATAATTTTTTTAACAAAGAATGAGGACGATTCGTTTTTTTTTCTTCGTTTTTCTTTAAGTTACACTCAAAGTATTGTAATAATAATATACAGTAATTTTTATTGGTTCGTATTATATAAAAATAATTACATCAAAAAAAAAAGTTAAAGATTATTTATGCTATTCAATATGTCCTCACTTTTCATCGTTTTCATTTTGCTGTTCGTCTTTTTTCTCTTTTCCCTCTCGATATCTACTTATAACCTTAATATAACTACCAGCCATGTGTTGGAGTCCACCATCTAACAATCTAAAAGGATTGAAACATTTAAAGAAACGATGTGTATCCTTTAATACACGGTTGGTCTCATAATGCCTTTCTACACTAGTTTTTACTATGGTTTTGACTCCATCTGTGGGTTTAAATAATTCTCGTTCAGAATATGGTTCTTTAGTAACATTATTACCCAATGTACAACTAGTAAACGTCGATTCTCCTTTGAATACAATTTTATCTCCAGCCTGAACATAATTCATCAACACATTATAATGAAAACCATATTTCCTTAGCCCTTTGCTACAAGCTCGATATGGTAACTTCGGCACAATATCCCTTTTTAAGACAACACGCCACAGCGGTCGACCTTCATTAGCCGGGTCGTTTTTCAGAGAAGTGAGCCCTGCAGCAAAATGAATATCCCCGACAGCAGGACTTGCAAAAGTTACTGTATCTCGTAATTCGCAGTCGACTTTTAATTTACCCAATTTCACCTTTAACAAACGTGCGTAGAACAACGTTGCCAAGCCACCTCCGAGTGAATGACCAGTTATCCATAAATTTACTTTGGGTGTTTTTTTCAAGGCGCTAGTGAACTCATCAAAAATATGTTCTGACATATTCATTGAACATAGATTGTGAATTAATTGATCATGAGATGATTCAGGTATCTCTTGGGCTTCTGCGCAACGCCTGATGAATTCTTTGAAATTTTCATTGAAATCTTTCACAAAGTTTTCCTTATTCTTGTGATCATCGTCTTTTTTCTCTTCAAGAATATTCATGTAACACTCGATGAATTTATTGAAGTTATCGTGGAAAATTTTATCAAAGCCTTCATCTTCAGGAACAAAGAATTTTCCTTCGCTTAATTCATTAGCCTTGTGTTTAAATACCTTCTTAAATTCAGGCATAAATTTTTCGCAAAATTTATTAATCCTAATATCCTTTGCTTTCCTCCGGATTGCCTTGATGATTCTGCTCGAAGGATAACTTTGAGAGCACCTTACGGCTCTCTTTGCATCCAATGGGAAAAGGTAATTGTAGAATCCACGGTGAATTTGTCCGTAAAGGAAACCCCGAGCATCCACACACTGAAATGTAAGGTTGCCTATCCACTCTCCGAAATTACTTGGACTTGTTCCCTTGAAAGATACGACAATAAAGTTTTTCTCTTCGCTATAAAACATCCCACAGAAGGAGCCACCATCTTCGGTGTTTAGTTCCGAGATGGAAGTAAATTTAAGATCCGAACCAATTCTATTTTTAAGTTCCAAGTTGATGTCGCGTTCATTATATTCTATGATGTCTTTGATGCTTTCCATGATTCCCTCGTAAGTGTTTTCGCCTTCGCTTTCATCGATTTCACCGAAAAATTTTCTGATAAAGGACTCGGTAATCCAGTCCGGGAAGCATCGATAGGTGGATAAATTCAGAAACAAAGATAAAAAGAATAATCGGATGCGTCCTTCGTTTATCTTCTTCTCAAAGTATTCCTTAAATTCATCCTCTTGCTTCGGTTCGACTCCTGGTTCTATTTTCTCTGATTCAAATAAATTTAATGGTTTTTCAAGTTTCCGAAATTCCTCAACGATTTCTTTTATATCTTTAATACGGTTGTTAACTATTTTAAAGACCTTATTCCTGGACTCTTTACTGTCTATTTGATGCACCTTTTTTAGATCGTTGATATTTTCGTGAATTAAAGAGAGGAGACCTTTTTTACGTCTATATACCATGTTGGCAAAAAAAAGCAGGATCTCAATTTTGTTGTAGATTTCTAAATTGAAGTCACCAGGTTAACCCACGATGCATACATCATAAATAAATACTGTAAATAGATCAATACCTTTTTCATTTAAAACTTTTCCATTTTCTAACAAATATTAAGAGATGAGGTGGATGAATACATCTACGCACAATACGAGCTTCATATCAACGGATTGATGTTACTCACCGTGATCCAGGGATTTCATTCCGGCCTTCAAATTTTCGAAATAATCTAGATGATGAGCGAATAAGATAAGATACATGAGTAGATACTCTATATACAATCACTGTAATGAAATCTTGATACAGTACGAGAATAATAAAAAACGTATACTGTACCATCGTAATCCTTGCACTTGTCACATTTTTTACTGTCATCACATTTTGTGCAACCATAAGATTTATTACAATTTGCCCAATCCAGACACTTCTTATCGTGTTTTTCACAACACTTGTAATCACCATATCCACCAGACTCGATCTGATACTTTACATAATCCTTTTCAGAGAGACCATAACCATTTAAATCCATTGGCAGAAGTTCCGGAAAAATCAAAGGTAAGATATAGTTGAAAGGGTTCTTGCGACGAAAATATCTTATGCGCTTTTTGCCATAAAAAAGATTGTTGCGATAAAGAGTTTGTAAGGTTAAAAGCGTGCCAGCCATGGCCAATAAAATGGTAGAACCCCAGAGAGAAGCAATTATGAGTAGAAAGTTTACTGGATGCCTTATAATTATGGTCCAGTCAAGGTATACGGCAGTGAGTACGTATTTGACGGCACGAACAGAGTAAAAAAAATACGCTATTTTTCCTTTGATAATATGCGGAGCTCTCGTATGTTGAGATTGAAATAGATCTAGGACTTTTAGATCCCGCAAATCTTTCTCCTCTTCTTCTTTCGCACCATCGTTTTTCTTTATTTCAAGAATGGTGGATTCATGTCTAAGAGCGAATTCGTTTTCAGACTCGTACTCAATTTGGGGATCGACTTCAATTGCATAACTAGGATTGGAAGACATGATGACGATTTTCTTTTGAGAATATTATTTTCTTCGAGGAAAATCAACACGAAGATTCAGATCAATTTATAAAGATTCTAGGTTTTCATCCGTATTCAAAAATGCCGCACGCACGTAAGGAATTCAATAAGAACAGGAAGTTACATGAATGTATTACGATTTACGCGTTTGTCAACATCCTCCATGGATGACCTTACAAATTTGGGCAATGTCAATAGCATTTCAACGTCCAAATTTGATGCATGGGACGATCTATACAGTACAGTACAGTACAGTACTACGGTGCAGTACTGCAACTTCCTCGACACAATCGATTACAGTACAGTAATGAATTCTGAAGTAGACCGGTTAATTCTTGGCGCATTATTTCTTGAGACTCGATTACTATTGAACCAAGTATGGAAAATATAAATCAAAAATTAAGAGAAAAACTTGATACAGTAGTTACAATCCTGTATCATGCATATGATCAAAACAAACTGATTCATTTAACATTCTTTTGTGGCGACCATTATCTTCACCTTGGAATTATCTTATCTTGTAACCTGTAGCAAACCAGATATTCCTAGAAAGAAAAGTGCACGGAATGGAAGCATCATAAGCGACCTGAAATCATTGATTACACGGTGACCCAATCGCGTCTTAGCGTAACGTATCACCATCTTTATCGCAGTATCGCTCCGGGTGTTACTTCCCATTTAGTTTATTATAAACTTGAATTCTTCAACGCAATTCAATCGGAGTTTGTTGCTATTTGCAATTTGAGGTACAATATGTAAAGACTTGATCAAAGAATCATCGTATGATACTTGCATCCTACTTCTGTATGTCTTTTACCTCTATTTGTATATTGTATTGTCTGTTAAATTTTCACGTAAACCGTTCAATAGATGGATAAGATTTAAAGATGATGAGGCGTTTGTATTTGACCGAGCGTAAAAGGCAAATTTATTCGATTCATCTTTTTTGTTAACTTTAACTTTCTCTACTTTTCTACATCATTTTTGTTCACATCTTCACATCGCTAACGCTGCCGTACTTTCAAGAACAATGGGAAGATATGGCGAAGCAAATGCTCAATTCTATATAATCACGTGATGAACTTCGCGTCTCATCCTACCCTGTTATAGTATTTTTACACCACGTAACCATGTTTTTATTCTTTACGCGACTAAAATAGATCACCGCTGACGTGTTCACACCTGCTAGAAAATATGATAAGAATACATGTGTAACGTTTCTCTCATCCACATTCCAGAATTATTGACATGACGCAGTACATGTGATACGTGTAATGATACAGAGTGCTGTACGTAGTTTGGGAAAGACAGCATGTAATGATCATGTCCAATAGCTAAAAGTCTAACTTTCTACAATGGTAAACTGAAATGAAAAGTTTGAGTTAAATCGTGTTGATGCCAATTTTTGTTTAAACAATACGGAAAAGTGGGAGACCTCGTTTCTTGAAAAATAAATTTTACTTTCGGGCCAGATCTTATTTACGCCTCAGTCATAAAACGTCAGAGAAAAAATGTCAGTCTCTCACAATTACATTTATTCCACGATCATGTGAAGAATCTTATGCTTGACATGTGATATTAATTTCGCGGAATACAGTACGTGCTGTGCTGTATACCACATCATGGCAGCATATTGTATTATACAAAAATGGTGTTATTGATTGATTTCATTTTTCGGTTGTCTTTTTCTCATCAACTTTAACGCTATCGGGATTTGCATGATAATAGATTAAGGAGGGAAAGTAATCCTTTCTCTCTCGTTGAGATTGACTCATGGTAAACATTTCAATTTCTGCTATTATCTGATTTACGTAATGCATCGTGCGATAAATTTAGCATAGAGTCCATGCATGTGACATCACTGAAAATAAGGATCAATAATAATTACCTCTGCCCTCTGCTTTAACCATACGTGCCTACCAGTAGTCTTGGTTTCGTTCACAACATCGGTCATGGCAGCTATTAGAACATTCAACAGGACGATGGTGGTGGAAAATGAAAAGATGATCAATAGCGAGATGATAAGTCGATTTTGGGTTTTTTCGTTCGTAACCGAATCATATTGGCCAATCTAAATACGTATCTCAAGAATAAGCTTATTTCGTATACAAGAAAATGAAGTCCATAAGGCTCTTACCAGAATGAAGTATACGGAATACAGAGAGGAACCGAAATCTTTGTAATTTGTATTTTCCGAATCTCTCAATAAAATGTGAAATATGTGAGCAAATGAGAACACTATGATCCATATTATTAGGATGATGAACCACACGCTTTTAAATATTTTATAAACCGTAAATATGGGTATGCCGAATGTTTGAAATATCCGAAAACGTAGGATCTTTGATGAAGCTTTAAACGTGAGAAAAAATATTCATGCGCGCACCGAGTGATGTACAGTATTTAGATTGGCCAATATGATTCGGTTACGAACGAAAAAACCCAAAATCGACTTCAATTGCATAACTAGGATTGGAAGACATGATGACGATTTTCTTTTGAGAATATTATTTTCTTCGAGGAA